TAACGTATCCTTCCGACCTTCCCAGTAGGTGCATTGACAACAACTCCGGAGACTGGATTTTGGATATTATTGAAGGTTTGACATCCTTACAAAAACTACAATAGTGCAAACAAAACAAAGCAATTATGATATCGAATATAGGTAAATATTCTCTGGTAACTAAATGCAACAACAACTTGACTTGATCTGGGAAGAATCATGCACAACTCGATAAATGACTAAAATTCCCTAAGATTTAATCATGAAAATGAAATAAGATTTTCGAGGATGGGAAAATATGTTTCCCATAGTATGAACATCTGGACTTTGTTGGTGTTTTGGGTTGTTTATTTTTCTGATGTTTACATTACAACTAATTGACTAATTAATTAGTTAAACAACCAAGCAGGCAGCGGTGCACGTATTTCAACCAAAAGTCCAAGTTTAATTAGACAAGCTAGATCTGACTTTGTGGCAGCAGCACAACATCACAGAGGAGAGGGCTAATGAGTAATAAACCAGTCTTAGTTAAAACCCGAAAAGAGAAACCGAAACTTCTCCGCAAGTGGTGCTCAAGGTTAGAAGACAAGTACATCTGCCATCTGGCTGTAACCTGGTTGTCACGTTAAAATTCTTGATCAGTAACCAGACAACCCAAGATTGATGATGCATGTCAAGACCTGATTGTTCCTCATAATTATTTGAATGGATCAAGATTTGGATGCCCATTTATTTTGACCAGGCTTAATTTACTGAACCTGATCATTAGCTAATTAGGAAATATATTATTATGAAGCTGGCCCTGGACCTTCCAATTCTTACCACAGAGCAGTACCCAAAAAAAGGAATTTATATTTCTTCTCCTCCTTCATTAGTTGTTCACAGCAGCACAGAAGAGTGAGTTCATACTCTCTCTCTCTCTCTCTCTCTCTCTCTCTCTCAATAAAACCCTGCTTGTCTTTACATTCCAAACCTTCAAAGAACCCAGATTTCAGTGGAAAGTGCGTCAAAGTATACTACTTTCATGGGTTCTCTGTGTTGTTTTCTCTTCTAGTATGCTGTACAAGTCTTATATCTAATACCCTGATCACGCTTTAGCATTTGCTTCCTCTGTTTCCTGTGGAATTGAATTTCCAAGAAATGGCTCCAAACTCAGTCGTAGTTACAATCGAGAAGCCTGACACCTCTGAACTAAAGGTTAATGGCTTGGATTCATCTGTGTTTCTTGAGAAACAAAAGGCAGTGAGCACCAAGCAATTCACATGGGTTCTTCTTCTCAAAGTTAATAGAATATTTGCTTGCCTTTCATGGCTGCCAATGGCATTCAGGGCCATGTTTGTTTCACTTAAAAAACGCATTGCCTTATCTGACATGAGTGATGAAGAGCCCAAAAACAGAGGAAGGTTGTATAGATTCATCAAAGCTTTTCTTGGTTTGTCAATTGTGGCTCTGGTCATTGAAGTCATTGCCCATTTCAAAAACTGGAATTTGAATCTGATTCAGCCTTGGGAGGTTCAGGGTGTGGTGCAGTGGTCCTATATGACCTGGTCGGCGTTCAGGGTTGACTATATTGCTCCTGTGGCTATAATTCTCTCTAAATTCTGCATTGTACTTTTTCTGATTCAATCTCTTGATCGACTGGTTCTGTGTCTTGGATGTTTCTGGATCAAATACAAGAAAATTAAGCCCACAGTAGCAGCAGATGCATATGACATTGAAGATTCTTCTACTTTCCCAATGGTCCTTCTACAGATCCCCATGTGCAATGAGAGAGAGGTAACAGAGCAAACTAGCTCACTAAATTTACTTCTTTTCACCGTCTCTTTCTCTGTCTGTTGCCAATTGACTTTTGCTTATCCCTACATTTACCTTTCTGGGGATTGCTTTAAATTTTCTTAGCTTCATGGGGTTCTGTTGTAATATTACCTTCTTATCATGTAGGTGTACGAGCAAGCAATTGAATCTGCTTGTAAGATGGATTGGCCAAGAGACAGACTTTTAATTCAAGTTTTAGATGACTCGGATGATAGGAATTTACAGCTTTTAATCAAAGACGAAGTCTCAACATGGAACCAGAAGGGTGTCAACATAATCTACAGACATCGGTTAATCAGAACTGGTTACAAAGCAGGCAACCTTAAATCAGCCATGGGTTGTGATTATGTCAAAGACTACGAGTTTGTGGCAATATTTGATGCTGATTTCCAGCCCAACCCTGATTTCCTTAAGCTGACCATTCCTCATTTCAAGGTGATTATTATATATATTCAATCGAAGATGCAAAATTTCTTAATTAATCTTTGTAATGACCTGAGACTAACGATCCTGCGGTTCGTCACAGGGAAATCCTGAATTGGGACTTGTCCAGGCTCGCTGGTCCTTTGTGAACAAGGATGAGAACTTACTTACAAGGCTCCAAAACATCAACTTGTGCTTCCATTTTGAAGTGGAACAGCAAGTCAATGGTGCCTTCCTCAATTTCTTCGGATTTAATGGAACTGCAGGAGTTTGGAGAATTAAGGCTTTGGAAGAATCAGGAGGCTGGCTAGAGAGAACAACAGTTGAGGATATGGACATTGCCGTTCGAGCACACTTGAATGGATGGAAATTTATCTTCCTTAATGATGTCAGAGTCCTTTGTGAATTACCAGAGTCGTATGAAACTTACAAGAAGCAACAGCACCGCTGGCATTCGGGTCCTATGCAGCTCTTCAGATTGTGTCTTCCTGCTATCTTAACTTCCAAGGTTTTCCCTTCATTAATGAACTTTCTTTGATTACTTCTAAAATTGTTAAATTATAAGTTTGTATGTTGTTTTTTTAACTTTTTGAAATTAAATTTGTGCAGATATCAATGTGGAAGAAGAGCAACTTGATATTTCTTTTCTTTCTTTTGAGGAAGCTGATTCTTCCCTTTTACTCATTCACATTGTTCTGTATCATACTTCCATTGACCATGTTCTTGCCTGAGGCTGAACTGCCTCTTTGGGTAATTTGTTATATCCCCATTTTCATGTCCTTTCTAAACATTCTTCCATCCCTAAAATCTTTCCCTTTCTTGGTTCCATACCTACTGTTCGAGAACACAATGTCTGTCACAAAGTTCAATGCCATGGTTTCTGGGCTATTTCAGCTGGGAAGTTCTTATGAGTGGGTGGTGACGAAGAAGACTGGAAGATCATCTGAATCAGATTTGTTAGCCCTTGCTGAGAGGGAATCACTGTCTTCAAATGAAGAGAAGATCCTAAGGAGGAACTCTGAGTCTGGTTTGGAATTGTTAAGTAAACTCAAGGAACAAGAAGTAGCCCCCATCCCCAATAAGAAGAAGAAAAATGGGATATACAGGAAGGAGCTTGCGCTTGCTTTTCTGCTACTCACTGCATCAGCCAGAAGCTTCTTATCAGCACATGGAGTTCACTTCTATTTCTTGCTTTTCCAAGGGCTGTCATTTCTTGCTGTAGGGTTGGACTTAATAGGTGAGCAGATGGGCTAAAACCCTAAAACAAAACAAAAGTGCAATTTCCCCATAGTAATTTTTGACAGCTATGTTGAACCTTAAGGACAGATTTGCAGCTCTTGGTGTTCAAAGTTGAATTCTTTTACATGTAGAAACATTTCCCATTTGTTAGAAAGAAGGTCATGGGTAAGACATAAGAATTGAGTTAATTGTACAATGGTATATGTCTTCAGTGTATGAAGTAATGACAATCAGTATAAACAACTCAGCTATTTTTTCATTGTTATTTTTTCTAATATGATGGTTCCTTCTCAATCTCTCTCAAGCAGCACATCATATATGAACTCAGTACCATTATTAGCCTTTCACCAAAGGTAAAAACTAAAAAGACATACAAAACCCACATCAACACAACCAAGAAACAGAACAAACCAAACTTGTACTATAGATCACACAAAACTTGAAAGAGACTTAATTTGTTACATAAACCCCGGCACGGCACACTGGGATCGGATTTCATCAAACTTTTGTTGCTTAAATTATAAGCTACCAGTGAAGATGTTCATTCGGCAATGATTATATGTCATCAGCGTACAATATTGAGGATCCCACCCAGTAAAGAAAAATCTTGTACTTTTACATTCCTCTATGTCGCTACTGTGAATGGAACAATACCAAACAGTCAAATGACAGGCCTGGATAAAATATCACATGGTTTCTCAGTCATGTGTTAGCTGTTAGATGTAGACAGAAGTGTAGGAAGGCACAAGCAATCAAGGAGAAAACAAAGGATGCTTTTGTCATACATTAGGAAGATTAAGGCTATCATATGCAGACATGTTACATGTCTCTATCTAAATGAATGAGAGCATTTAACATGTTCAGAATTGCTAAAAAAAACCAACTAGTATATTGTCTTGTGGTAATTGTTAATTATATTTGGTTCAAAAGTCTCAAAATCGATTCACATGAATACGGAAATTATATATATTTGTGATAATTCCATATTTAGTTGTGGCTAACCCCATTGCAGTGTCGAATAAAGGACATTGGTGGTTGAAAATTATCTTTGTAAGTTAGTCAAAATAAAATTACCCAGGAAAAAAAACAAAGGAAAATAGAATGATTGGGCCCTAAGAGTCGGGCCTAGGTAGCCACAGCTCGGGCTGGGACTCGCTTTTGTGTGCCAAACGGGCTGGCTCACGGGTAAGGTTATGTTTGGCGGGCTAAATGCCAACATATCGCAAGAAAAACACATTCTCTGGGATTCCATCAGCCGACCTGCCAAGGGCCATTGATGGCAACGTGTAGCATTTGAGTAAATTCACTTTAGTCACAGAGACCACTGGGCACTCACTTGACCTGACGTTTCTCTCATTCGAATTTCAAATTTCAACAGCTACAAGGTAGGATCTTCAAGCTCCAGAGTCGCTATTTATATCCTTTTAAATACTAGGGTTTTATTGTCGTCATTTGTAGATACTAAAATTCGGTTTACTTTTACATTTTGGCTTTCCTTTTATATTTGCAGTGCTGGGTCTTGAAAGTTAGACACTGAAGCTTCAATGGCGGAAGAAGAGGGTGATGCTTTTTATGTGGTTCGGAAGGGGGATATCATTGGAGTATATAAAAACTTAAGGGATTGCCAAAACCAAGCCGGTTCTTCGGTAAATTTTTACCACCGTATTATCTATGTTATAACATTTGAGCTTGATTCTTCTCTGGTTTTGGCCCATTCTTGATCAATCTTTGGAGCACCAAGCTTAATTTTCTATTGGGTTTTCTTGATTGTGTTAGAATAACCGTTCCCTTTATTGTTCTTTTATCATTTTTCTCATGGACAATGTTAATACTGAAACTTAAGACTAATTTCTTATATGCAACTGGAATTTCTTCCTACATTGATTGGTTGTGGTGTACATTCTGAAAAAAAGTTTGTGCTTTCTGGTGGTAGGCTACCTTCCCTAATTGCGAATCTCTAATTGTAGCTTTCGTGTCCACAAACGTTAAGAGTAAAATTAGCTTCCATTAGGTTGTATATGTGCCCATCTGTTGCTAACTCATTGGTAACGAGGGGTTTTTTGCTTCTATTTTCGTGCTACTGGAAAATGCTTCAGAATATTTATGAGGTTTGTTTTCTTTTTAGGTATGCAATCCTTCTATAAGTGTGTTCAAAGGCCACGGTTTGCCTAGGGAGGCTGAGGAGTACCTTGTCTCGCATGGGCTTAAGAATGCTTCTTATACTATCTGTGCCAATGATGTGAAAGATGATCTTTTTGGAATACTTGCTGCTTGCCCTTACCAGGTTTGTTGATGTCATGTTTTAAAAAGGCTCTTTGGGGTTCTCTGTTCTTCTCCATGGCATGTGGCATGAAAATAGTTTTTGTATCATAGATGATCTTATATTTAGTTACTGATTGTCTAATTGTGCATGTTTATAAACTTTCAGCAGCCCGATTCTTCTATAGTAGAATCAGCTGTCAACGACTCAGCACCAAATAGATTTCAGGAGATGGCTGGGTCTACTTCATTCCCAACCTCTCAGACTCAGAGAAGGCATTTCAAATCCGATGATCATATTGAAACTCTATCTGTTTCTTATAGTGGTGTAAGTTTCTGTTTCTCACAACCACTGATATATAACGTGCATAATATATTTGATTACTGATTGTCTAATTGTGCATGTTCATAAATTCCAGCAGCCAGATTCTTCTACGGTAGAATCAGCTGTCAAGGACTACTCGCCACCAAAGAGATTGCAGGATATGGTTGGGACTACTTCATTCCCAACCTCACAGAGAAAGCATTTCAAATCTGATAATCCTATTGAAACTCTAGCAGTTCCTTCTAGTGGCGTAAGTTTCTAGTTCTCACAACCACTGATAAAGTTACATGTTATGTCTATCTATCCGTCTAATCTCATTGTTATGGGTATGTGAGGTAAAGTTACATATTTATGCCTGATCTATGTCTTTTTCCAGCATTCCTGTGTACTTGAGTTCGATGGTGCTTCAAAAGGAAATCCTGGACAATCTGGTGCAGGAGCTGTGCTACGAGCTGAAGATGGAAGCGCTGTATGCAGTTCATTGAGATAATTGTGGTTCTTTTAGGGCATATTTTCTTGTCAAATGTAGCTGTTAACCGTTTATTTATAACATGGGGTTTTATAGGTCTACCGGTTACGTGAAGGGGTGGGCATTGCAACAAATAATGTTGCTGAATATCGAGCTGTAATTTTGGGATTGAAATATGCTCTTGAAAAAGGATATAAACACATTCGTGTTAAAGGAGACTCTAAACTTGTCTGCATGCAGGTTCGTATATGTTACAGCACTTGAATTTTTGCAGTCTTTCCCTTTCCCTTCCTTTCGTTACCTGTATCCTTGAAAATTCATTTCATATTTTTTTTGTTTATTAAGTCTTACAAGCTCTTTGATGTAACAGATTCAGGGTCTCTGGAAAACAAAAAATGAGAATATGGCTCAGCTGTGCCAAGTGGCCAGGGAGCTCAAGGAAAAGTTTATGTCATTTGATATCAATCATGTTCTTAGGGTATGTACAGTTGTGTTCTGGAAGAAATTTTTGTATGTAATACTTGTATAATAAATCTTCAAGACTCCAAGAACTTAATTTGATGAGAGTATGAGAATGGATCAAAAATTGAACTCTGTTTGATTCTGTTAATTGGACAATGGTAATTTTATCAAAATCTGCTATGGTGGCCCCAGAATGAGATGACCTGCTATTGCTGCAGGATTACAATTCTGACGCTGATGTTCAAGCAAACCGAGCAATAAATCTTCAAGGTCGGTGCCAGCTCTGTTGAATTCTTGTGATTTTCATAGTCTATACTTGGTTTTCCATTTATGAGAACTGCTTGGATCTTATGCTTGAACAGATGGACAAGTTGAAGTGGATTGGAACGGGAAGTAAGCTCAAATGATGGAAAGGGGACATTGTTTTGTAGGCTGAGAGAATTGGAACCGGGACTTGTTCAAACATATGCTTTCAGATTCTGTTGGTTAAGATGTATTGAAATGCACTGCTTTTGAACTTCTGATGGAGCAAGAGCTCCTTAATATGTACACCCCAATTCCTAATTTCAACTCTGGTCTGTGTTAAATTCTCAGTGATCATTTTGAAACCCAAGCTTTGTAATTTCCAGCTGTTAAAATTGGTTTAGAGAATCTGCATTCAAACTAAGTTGCTTGTTAATTTACACATGTAATAATGGTTGATGAGAAGAAGAAAATCAAATGGACGGCTCTGATTAATTTCAAAACTTGAAAGACAAATATGGCTCTGTAAATGGATAGGAAGCAAAAGGCCCAAAAGGCCCAATTTAATGCGCTTTGCATCATCTCTCACAAACTAACTACACTCGTTCTTCTCAGACCAGTGGCTGGATATTGCTTTGGTGGGAGAACAGAGAAGTCAGAAAGATTGAAAGATAAAACTCACCCAAAACAAATGGCTGCGGTTTCAGTCTCAGCATTCTCACCTCTGGCATCGCTCCGTACACCCAATCGTTCCCATTCCCTTGCAATTCCCATTCCTTCTCCAACACTTTCGTTCCGAAAAGTTTCCACCTCTTTCCAGCGTTTAACGCACAAGGACCAGAGGTCCCGTATACCCACAATTATAAGGGCAGTCGAAGAGGAAACCCTAATTCCAGTTGAAGGAGAAGAGCAAAAACAAGAAGAACCAGCCAGCAGCGAGCAACAGGAACAGCCCGTTTCGGTCCCCGTTTCGCCCTCCGACACTCTAACCATGCTCTTTCAGGTACCCAGCTACCAATTTTGCCCAAGTTTGCAACTTTGTGTTTAAATTCCGTATCTTTACGTTTTCTGGAGTCCATGTTATTCATGCGCTGCAAATTTCCATGAAATTGTTGTTCTTTTTTTATTTATGAAATTGAGCAATTTATGCATATGCTTCTTTGTTTTCTGATTATGAGGAAATTTGTTAATGACAAGTTTTTAGCTTTAGTATTAAATGTGACATTTCTGTTGCATAATATTTCAAGGCAGATGGAACAATGAGTGACGCCGCTCTCCCTTCAGTAACCAAAGCCTTAGAGGTACATTTTTATTTTTAGATATGTGGATGTTGAAATTGTGAATCAATGTTGGATTGGTGTTCATAATTTGTTACTCATTCATGCATTCTGTCACAGGAAACTCAAGGTATTACCAACTTAAAAGTTGAAGTTGTTGAGGGTATTGCAACTGTTGAGGTGCGTATAAAAGAAACTTTCTTAACTGGGTAGTAACAAATAGCAAAATATATGTAATCCATTAGAAGTAAAGTTTATCAGCTGCTGAATGCTTGATCTTACTCAATTTGCCACCTACTTTGCTTTGTTCACAACTTATGTTTTTGGATGTTGCTTGATTTTACTTATTTTCCTATGTGCTTTGATCGCATCTTATCGCTTTTGGGTGTTTTTGATTCTGTGAGATGCATTTAGGTTGTTATGTGAAGCATTTTTTGTTTGTTTTTCCAGTTGACAAAACAAACAACAGTACAAGCTACTGGGGTGGCTTCCAGTTTGGTTGAGACCATACAGAGTTCAGGATTCAAGCTACAAACATTGAATTTGAGCTTTGACGAAGAAGAGGAAATTGCTGTATAGAGCTTGTGTGCTGGTCTAGGATAAACGAAAGTGGAGAGGAAAAAGGCTGAGAAATATAATGTTGAAGCTCTGTTTCCTTGGATTCATCATTCATGGTTTGTATTTTGTAGTTATATAGGCTGCCTCTACCAAGTTTTGGTGAAGTTGAACTTTAAGACAGACGTAGTGGATAAACAATTTTACTGTCCTCGTTGAGATGGTTTTTGTGAGGTGGTTGTACTTCTACTATGTAAATTTGCATGATGCTAGTTCTGTTTTATACCTACTCATCTTATTAGCAGCGCCATGACTTAGATGCCACTAGGTCAAGCTCAGATAGATTTTTTTAACTCCAGTTCCGGCCCTTGTGTATGACCTGGTTAGGTTTTTCTAATTAGATCAAGCAGCCTGGCCAGATATTGCTGGCCTAGGCCCACCCGTTATAAAAAAAATATACACAAGTGTCTTATATCTCACCTACCTTTGATAGAGAAATTATATAGTGAGGGTGTCATATATGGACTCTTCATAAGGACTTTTATATTAGCTACATGATCATTTCATTAAGGATAATGCTTCTCTCCTTGCCCATAAGGAGAAACTCCTCCTTACCTACTGATGTGATGTGGTTCAGCTATAATTTGACACGTCTCTCACATAATGAATCACGTGGCTAATATGAAGGTCCGTATTTATGATACATATATGACACCCTCACCGCAAAACGACTCACCTTAAATGAGATATAATACACATGTGTATATTTTTGTTATTTTAATACAAGCGAAAGTTGTCTAAATCGATTTAAGAAGAGGGAGATTTGAATTTATGTACAAGGAGGCGGACTCAGGTCTGACCGACGGATATGTTGTGTGTAGATATTAACATGATTAGCTAAGTTTGGTCTGTGAAAGGAAGTAAACCACACGGACGACTTGCTGTTATCCACTTGTTTCTGACCCATGACCCTTTATAAGTTTGGTGTGTGAAAGCAAGTAACCACACGGACGACTTGCTGTTGTCCTTTTCTTTCTGACCCATGACCCGTATAATAAGCATGGGGAGAGAGAGCCTAGCAGGCTTTACTGAGAAGAGTCTGATAGAGACTGGCCCAATGACCTAAAATATGATCCGTACATATTTGTATGTTTCTGTTTATATGGGGCCTAAAGCCTAGTCTGTGCTGCAGTAGAGTTATCATATCATTGCCCCAATGGCACCGAGACGTGATGGGTCTTTTGGCGTTTCTCCATGAACTGGTGAACAAGTAGGTGAGAAGCAAGCTAGCAATGTGATTCTGAATCTGAAATCTGAATGGTTTAATGAATTTGCTTAGATGAAATCCAACGGCAGAGGATTAACAGCAATCCACCCACTCTGTCAATAATGATTTTTGGGAAGTGTGATATAAAGCTATCCCCTTTGCAAAATGAAAAAGGAAAAGTAAATTGTCCCTACTTAATTTAACCGGGGCATGTCTCACTTTTACTGTACTCAAATTCGAATCGGACTGGACTCTAGTGTTTTTGTTCAAACCAGGGGGCCTTTGCCTCACTTGTGCCAGTTCATATATGCACCTACCTCAAAACCCAATTTCGATAAATTTGTATTTATTTGTATGTACATATATATTATCGGCAATTTAGATAGCACATGTTACACTGTTATTAATAAGAATGCAGAAACTTCTACTTACATGATAAGAAGGGAAGTATTTTACACATATTTTTATGGGGAGCTTGATTAGCACATATATTAAGATTAAGGTGAGCTGAGGGCCCTAGCTGAAAAAGAAAGCCTGAAAACTGTGATTTTAATAGGATCTTTCTCTGACATAACCATACCAAACACGTTACTGTGAAATCATAGTGTTGCTCTCAAGTTTAGTTTTGGAGTGTTGTAAATTTGTTAATGCCTTTCAAATTACTTAATATTAATATATTTGATGTTCTGAAATGAAACCCCTGGTACAGAGTTACATATATATATATATATAAATATATGGATCATATAGGGTTAGGTCCATCTAGGCTTAGCATACTGATACAGCAGACATGTCATTGATACCACATGCATGCAGCAGCTTCCTATATTTGAATAAGAATATGAGAAACAGAACCAGCAGTGTAAGTTCTTATGGAACCGACCAGTTGTAATATATATAACTTCCTAGATTTGCTCAATCAATTGTACCCTCATAGATCTGTCAATTACATCGTTGGATCCTTCCCAGGAACCAGCTGTACATTACCGTATGAGTATTAATGTCAATACAAATAATCCCCAAGGATCCCAAAATAATGCCTTTCTTAATTTGGATCCATGGTTGCATTGATTCACTCATGTTTTGAGTAGATAAGTTCATGTGGAGGAGTGAAGAAATCTGCTTAGCAATTATCCCAGAACCCCATATCGTTTTTATATTTTAACACAAAAGAATTTAGGAAACAATCACAAAGACGTTGTAATCAAATAATTAAGAGTAATTACTCATATTATTATTGGTATATCATCTTTATACTTTAAGAGTAGTTACTCATATTATTACTCGTATAATAAAAGGAATCAAACAGATAGGGAAGCAATTAATGAAATTTACGAGAGGAAACGTAGCTTTGGCTACAAGCTAATATTTTATGAGACAGACCTCGTGTGGAGGAAATTAATTTATTGTGATGGGGTGGAGGTGACACGGAGTCTGATGGATGAGTGAGAAAGAGTGAAATAGATAGAAGATAATAATAGTTTAGTGGACGCTCTCATAGGGGCAGGTGGGTCGAAGTCTCAAGACAGATTTTTGGACACCAAGCCATAACTTATGTCTCACCGATCTGCTCATTTCATCAAAAGCAGCTGGCATGCATATCGGCAGCTTGTAGAAATATCTCTTTTTGGTCCTTTTTCAACACTATTTATACCACGTCCCTGCTTCTGCTACAAATCATCTGTGTCTTTTACTTCTTAGCTCGTCAGGCTTGACATTTCCAGCTGTTCCACAATGGCTGCTTCCAAAGCCATTCTCCTTCTACTTGCTGCTTTTCTCTTTGTTACTACAAGGGTAATTATTATTTCCATCCCAATTTATAAGCATTTTTTATTGTTTAGTTTCCCATATCTTGGGTGTGTCTAAATTGGTTTGAAATCCTTATTTTTAGGCTTCTTCTTCATCACTTGACCACCATGAAGAACTGAAGTTAAAGGTACTAGTTTTTTTTTTTACTTAAAACAGTGTGGTAAAGTTGAGTTTATATCTGGAAGTAACAAAAAGCTTTAATCTTGACAGTGTTTTTGACCTTCAATGTGGTAAACTTAATTAGTTTCAGGCTGCTTATTCCAAAGTCTTGGTACCTGCACCAGCTCCTTCTAAGCTTCCAATAGTAAAGGCACCGGCTCCACCACCCCTGGTCAAGGCTCCAGCTCCAACTGTTCCGGTGATCAAGCCGCCCACTCTACCACCAGTTCCGGTTATCAAGCCGCCCACTCTGCCACCAGCTCCGGTGATCAGGCCGCCAACTCTACCACCAGCTCCGGTGATCAGGCCGCCAACTCTACCACCAGCTCCGGTGATCAAGCCGCCCACTCTACCACCAGCTCCAGTTGTCAAGCCACCCACTCCACCAACTCCTGTCAGTCCTCTGACCCCAGCGAAGCCACCCACTTACCCACCACTGCCCCCAGTTAAATCCAAAGAGGGTAAATATTTTCTCACCACCGTACCATAGAGAAGTGAATTTTTCATGCCTTTTTATGCAGTAAAAAAAAGCTAATCTTGATTAATTTTTCATGGTGTTTCTGCTAACTGCTTAATTTGGTTTTTTTGTGAATAATTTTGTGATGGGGCAGATTGCATCCCTTTGTGTGACAAGAGGTGCCAATTGCATTCAAGGAAGAGAGTCTGCATGAGAGCTTGCATGACATGCTGTGACCGCTGCAGATGTGTTCCTCCCGGAACTTTTGGCAACCGGGAAAGATGTGGCAAGTGCTACACTGATATGGTCACCCATGGGAACAGAAGCAAGTGCCCTTGAACACAAATCACAACTTTTTCTCGCTCTGTTTTTTTGAATTTTAAGGCCGGCCATGTTTGCTTAAGACTGTATGAGAGAGGAGAAGCGAGAAAATAATTGTTTTCCAGTGTCCTTTCTAGTTTCTTTCTACTGCTTCCTGCATCTACTGAATGTGAATGGGCAATTACTAGTACTGTATGTATAATGTATGGCCGCGGCCCTTTGATTCAAATTTTCAATGTCGTGTAGCAGATGTTAATTAATATATATATATATATATATTATTGTACTTTTTGGCTCTTGGTGGGTACAACATTTATAGTGCCTGCTTTCTTTAACAGCTAGAAGAAGCATTATCGTTGACATTATCGTTAACAAAGGATTTTCATGAAACGGGTTTTCCTTGGTGCTCAGCTCAGTCTTGAAGAAATCCCACGGGGTTTTCCTTGTAATTTGGTTATTGGCTTTAAAATAAAAATAAAATAAATCTTAAATGCCAAAGTGAGGAGAATCCAAGGGCTTGAAGATGTGGCCCTCAAGGCACCGTTGCTACCGAATAATATTAATATGTGGGCCCTAACATTTCCTTCATGCACGATGGGCCTTTTCGCCTGTGTTAATAGCCGAGTACCTACCAAAACAAAACTGGATGGATCTTTCTTTCTAGGTCCATATATTTTCATTTTCTTTTTATAATAACTTTAATTGTATTTTATTTAAATAAATTTTGACTAAGGTTCTTTGCAAGGCACGTGTTCCCACATGCATGTATAAGATGATGAGGAACACTATCAGTGGTATGCTTAGGGAAATAGTGGTGTTCTAAGCGTGTACAAATCTCTCTCTCCACCCTTTTAACACTATTTATACCCCGTCCTAGTTCTCCTACAAACATCATCTGCCTTCCGATAGCTCTTACACTTTTCTACTGCATTAATTCCTCTTGATATTCCACCTGCTGCTTACAATCAATGGCTCTCAAAGCGTTCCTCCTCCTCTTCGTCACCATTCTCCTAGTTACTGCAATGGTAATTAGTTAATTATATATTGATAATTTGATTCTTCGTCGTCCCAGTAAATAGGCGAGGAAATAAAATTTGTTTCTTCCTCCTTGCAAAAATAAATCTGCATATTTACTTGTGCTAGGTACTTTTGTAATTTTAATTTTCCTCTCGTCTGAACGACATTCTTGTTTTTTAAGGTTTCGTCCCAGGACGATCCTGAAGAAGAACTCAAGGCAAAGAGTAGAGTTAGAGTAAGTACATTGATTTATACACTTATTTAGTATCAGGACAGTGCTACCTGTTTAATTATTATACAGCTTTGTACATTAATAGAAATTATTGGGAGAAAATTTAACATTTAATATGGTTTCAGCCAACGACGCCAAAAGCAAAGACACCACCCAAAGCCAGGTCACCACCAGCACCAAAAGGTGGCAAGGGAGGCAAGACCAAGCCATTCCCCAAGTCGCCGCCTTCACCGGCACTGGACGAGCCTTATCCTCCATTTGACGAGCATAACGACGATGAGCTAACTCCACCACTTCCAGTAATTCCACAATTTTATTTAGTTTTTTTAAAATAAAAAACTTTTAAGATAGTAATGATCATTTATCGTATGCTTAAGTTTTGATATTCTGGTTTCAGGTGGGCGGTATGGTGAACCCGTTAAACAAATCAGCCTCGTCAATTGGGAATTGACCAACGAATGTTAGCCAGAACTGAGTATAAGTATATATGAGAAAGACAATAAAGTATATGTAATACTGTATATGTACTAAGACTCTTATTATAATTCAATAATATCTATCTATTTAAAATAAACTTACCGCGTACAACTTTGAAAAGAAAAAATAAATGTCATACCAAGGCTGTAAAACATAGAACGAACCATGGTTATACTTAATGGAAAAGCTAAATACAAATAATGGTCATTTTAAATGGTTAATTACGTCAGTAAACAAAAGAAGATGACGTTTTTTTTTGGTTCTAAAGGAGCCGAAGCTTAGAAATAAAACTAAGTGGGAACCATTCCTTGTGGCACGCCAAAACAATTTCAAATTAAGATGGCATTTTCGCTGCACCAATTCAGCCAAGTCAAAAAGCGCCCAAATTTTTTGGACTACATCCATTACTTAATTTCTTAAAAATTCTGTACTACAAAAGCGTCCTTCAACTTCAAACACTCAAGTAAAAAATCAATATATGTATTCCTTCGGCAACCCAAAATCAATGGGACAGAATGAGTGACCCAATTCAAGTCCTTATAAAACCATTGTAAAATTTCTTAACTCTTTTTTATGTACGTACGTAATTCTTCACATGCTTACATTAGATGGCATGTGATACCACATGGAGTGCTTATGGATTGGAACCACAATACAATTAGCTTCCTCTTGCTGATCGATTAGATATGTAGTGTTCGTTGTTAAGTTGATTGTTGGATCCTTTCCACTACTGCCATTGCAAAATTGAAATAATCGCTTTACTTAAGAAGGGCACATCTCATAATTTGAATATCAATTAGATATGTACTGTTCGTTGTTAATTAGATTGTTGGATATCTTTTCACCAGCGTCATCTGCATTGCAAATTGAAATAGTCGCATTACTTAATTTATAAGAAGCTCGTATCTCATAATTTGATTATCGATTAACAATTTCAACTTCAAGAGACTTGTAACTCAAGCACATGTAATGTAAGATCATTTATCCGAAGTCTTTGTATACTTGATTTTTCTTCTTTCCAATATTGTATATATTAACTCCGTTTAGTTTGGTCCATGCGTGACTGGCTTTTTAGTTTGAGTCGAACAGTTCATGTGGAGGGGTCTGAACGATCAGAGTAACAAGTGAAGTAGAGGAGCCGCTCAGCCATATATTGACCCACAACCCCAAATTGTTTTTATATTCTGTTAATACAAATGAGGCTAGCAAACCTAGGAACCTCAAATACACCCCGCTGAAGAGGAGGAAATGTAGCTAATTTGGCTCCAAGAGTTTTTCGATCGCGTGATCATTTCGAAGGATGTTCATTCATTGGTTACACATACTGTGATGGGAATAGAGATGATAGTGGAATGCATGGCCACAGTCGTCCTTGGGGAAGGAGGGTCGAACTCAGAAGTCAGATGTCGGACAGCAACCCATGACTTTTAGTTATGCTTATGTCTCTTGTTCTGATGAATCAGCTTGTAAAAATTTCTCTCTCCATTACCTTTCGGCACGCATGCACCGTGCACGTACGCTACATATATATATATACACACACACTACTTGTTCTGCTAGCTAGAATGTTCATCTCACATCCGTAGCTAATATATCTACAATGGCTTTCAAAGTTATGCTTCTGCTTGCTACTATTCTCTTAGTTACTGCAAGGGTATAGAGTCTATGCCTCAAGTGTTGTCGACGGTTAGGTGTGTTTCAATTCACTGATACCGATCCTGTCTTTGTAGGTTTCCTCAGATGATCATCCAGAGAAAAACGCAAAGTTTTGGGGGGTATGATCCTTCTTCCAATATCGTATATTAACTTGATATCACTTTGCACATCCTTCAACTATAGCTAGTGACTAAAATTTGAAAGCAGTACTGTTATCCCCTCTGGTATTATTGAAATTGAAGTTTTATACATGACAAGATACATACATACAGCCATTTCCTTGGGATCAATTTGATCTCTAGTGCTAATTTCCACGGATTTGAGATGCTCAATTATATATTGAACTCATGATCTATACAGCTATTTCCTTGGGAGGATTGGGATGATGAACCACCATTCAATATCCCAATCCCAATACCGACACAATCTCCACCACCGCCACGATCTCCACCACCGTCACCACCTCCAGCCAAAGCACCGGCTCCTGTGAAGGCACCGGCTCCAGTTCCACCTCCAGCGAAAGCACCTGCACCAGCTCCTGTGTACCCAGTTAGGTCCATTCAAATTGAATAAATCTACGCACTACTTATCTAATGCATGGCACCAAATTACAGCTAGCTCAACACTGAGGAGTAGCTAATTGAACTCAAGAACAGTAGCCAATTTACGCACTACTTAATTGTAGATACAATTATTTTTACCTTTAATTTTTGAATTATTGATAATGCATGCATGCTTATGCAGCCACCTTCGGCTCCGACTCGGAAAAAGGACGGCGATGATTCCTCTTTCCCAGGAGGAGGCGTTATTCCACCGTTCGTTCCCGTTCCACCGGTCTTCCCAACTGTACCGCCTGTTCCAATATCGGGCGGCGGAACCCGGAGCCCGAGCACAGAACCGTCACCCCCACCCGACACCAAAACTCCAAACAACTCCCGTCAATGCACGTGCGCTCCTCCAGTTCCAGTAGTGAAGAACCCTAACCCTAATCCTCAGATCAAGGCCCCGCCTGCTCCACCCTCTCCCATCACGTCCCCATCCACTCCACCATCTCCTCCGCTGAAGGCCTCGCCTCGACCTCCACCATCACCACTTCCCAAAAGGGCAACGCCGCCTTCACCTCCGAAGAATAAGGCGCCACCACCTCCAAAGAAGAAGGCACCGCCTCCACCACCACCGTCGGACGAGCAGGAGGGCGCACCGGAGGAGGCACCAGCTCCCTCGCCAAGACATCTGGGGAAAGCACCACCTCCAATACCTCTAGCGAAAGCACCGCTGCCGCCTCCACCTCCGAAGATTAAGGCGGCACCAGCTCCCTCCTCAAAACCTTGTCCGAAAGCACCGCCTTCGAAACCTCTGGTGGACGCACCTGCTCCGAATCCTAATCTGGTGCCCAAAGCACCCGCTCCGAGGCCTAATTGGGTGCCCAAAGTACCAGCTGCACAACCTCCACAAAAAGGACCGGCTCGGAGACCTAATGGGGGATGGAGAGCACCTGCTCCAAAACCGGATCGGTTGCGAAAAGCACCCGCCCCAGAACCGTTCGTGAATGAACCGGCTCCGATATTGCTACGCTGACATGTTCTTAAAATTTTGGAATCAAGTTTTTTCCTATTTTTCCCTCTCGTGAGTTCATGTCACGTGAGCTGAACAAGTACGAGAGAGGCAAAAAAGAAAATAACAAAAATAAAAGGCTTTTCTCTCGTTGTTAATTTTGTAATCCATCGTATCCTCCTATCTATGCATATCATGAAATAAATTGGGCAATTCAATAGACCCTTTTGACTCAGTATACAATGATTTGGTGCTTCGTTTTAACAGAGAATATTATACAATATGGCGCCCAAGGATGTGCACGATTTTTAAAGTTGAAAGGATATGCATTTTGATTTGGATCCTCTCTCTTAACCTCATATGCAAAATATTGTTCAACATCCTTGATTTTTAGGAAATGAAAATCAATATGGGTTTTTTTTTTTCCAGAGGAGTAGACTGCTTTTAATTATGAGCGCTTGAAAAAAGAAAAACAATCTTACAAGAGATGAAAACTCCAAAGCGAACACACTAAAAGGGGAGGGATGGTTTGTAAATCAAAATACTTTTTTACTAGACTAGACTCCGTTAATAAAAATATTTATATATAAAGTCAATTTCATAAAGATTGAAATCCACTACTACTTCTATATAAAATTAAATATAAATAACTCGGTATAAGTCCGATTCTTATGATAGAATTTGGGTGTAATCCATACACGTATTGTTAATAATCCAAGTCCTCTGACTTCAATGCTACATAGAATTACATTTATTTTCTAATTTTATGATGTAATCATATATGCCCTTGTGATTTATAGTGCAAACTCAAAATTGGACCTATATCAAAAGACCCCAATTAAATAATAGTTGAACATTAAAAATTGAACCAATTTTGGGATGCGAGAGGAATACACATATATAAAATCGATTATTTGTGCAAATTCCACCGCCACAAATTCGATACGAGTAATTGATTTGTATTTTGTATGTAAATCATTTTTTATATATAAAAAATACAAATCAATTACAATTTGATACGAGTAATGATTATTTAATATCTTTTCTAGACATGCCAAGAACATCTCGTAAACTCATTACATATAAGCAGCCTCACATGAATTATTCATTAGAAGATAATATAATCTCGTAACACGAACTAAAAAATGCGATCTTTTTATCAGATATATAAGTTATTACCAACCCAGGATGGTCAGACAGGCAAGCAACGAACCACGAAATTCATGAAACTTCAGCTTCTGGGTTACAAGTTTGGTAAGGCAGGCCTCGTGTGAAGGACATCATCAAACGGATTGTAACACATACTCTAATGGCAAATGGATGTAAGAGTTCAGTTTGGTGCATGGGCACCGTCCTTGGAGAACTCTCAAGTCAGATTTTGGTCAGCAAGCCATTACTAATGTCTCAGTGATAGGATGAAGCTGTCACATGCATGACACTTCAAAAACCTATCTCTCCACCTAATTTCAACACTATTTATACCATGTTCTTGTTTCTAGCTAAATATATATGTGCAAAATGGATTTCAAAGCTATGCTTCTTCTGTTTGCCTCTGTTCTCTTAGTTTCTGCAGAGGTAATTAATTATAAATTTTCATTTTTATCTTTAATTCATCTTTATTATTTTTCCACAAAAGTTTTGAATTGGTTCATCTGTCTAGGTCTCATCTAATCATGGTCCTCATGATCAGGAACTCAACATAAAGGCATTACATATCTTTAATTATATCAACAACCATGCATATATATTGAGTGTTAATTTTCTACAGTTTATTACTGTTCTATTGGGTATCGGTTCATCACATTAGTTTACGAACAGGATCGGTATGTACGCTACGGTAGTTTTCGTAAAGGGAATCCAGTATTCAGGGCACCACCATCGCCACGTCAGATGAATGAAGCGGCTCCTACCGGGGTACCTGTGGCCATGCCATTCACTGCTCCCCAAGTTAAGACCAACCGGGGTAAGGACGTGTCCAATTTCATGAAAAGATTAAATAGAAATGTGCTTTTGGGTCAATAACGTTAATTACTATGTGTTTTTTGCTGATTTAATTAATTTAATTTTGTGGGCATGGAGATTGCGTCCCGTTGTGTGACAAGAGGTGCAAAATAGAAACAAATAAGAAGATCTGCAGGAGATCATGTATGGCATGCTGTGCCCGCTGTAAATGTGTTCCTCCGGGATATTATAACAGCAACATAAACAAATGTGGCAAATGCTACACCAATATGAACTATCACGGACACAAGTGCCCTTGATTAATTAATCCTCAGATCAACTAATTAATTAAGCACGAGATCGATGTAATTAATAAGTACTGTGAGACTTGATTCACAGATGCCACAAAATAAATGGGTTATGTATTACTTAATTTCAGAATCTATTTATTATATGGGTGATAGATAGGCCCAAAGTATTTAATCATATTGAATTGTCCAGTGTCAATGGCTTATATAATTAGTTAATCAAAGTCAATTCATGAAAATTGAAGTCTATATATTGCTATTTTGACATAAAATAATAAAGTTTTTATAATTATTTATATGGATTTGATGGAACCCTTGCCTTGCCCAATGGGAAAGTAGATTGATTGATGCTGTTATTAGTTCAAGCAGAAATATTGAACGCAAAAAAACAAGGTGGCTATTCGTGATGAGCATTCTATGTAATTGTCACCTGCCGTCCAGCAAATCACATCACTACAACTCATTCCCATCTGATCTGCTTTTGCTAATAATAATATCTGGACCCAAGTGCCTGTCTGCTACCCAGAAGAACAAAACTCGAAACATAGAAACTGGCTTCAGTGAAATTGGCCAGTAATTACGTATAGAAAAGGACACAGAGAAAAAGCTAGCTTGGCTAGGGAATTTGGCTTTATAAATTGGTGAGAACCAACACAAGGAATTGCAAACCAGTCAATTGTTTACTTGGACAAGATCATAAATCATCACATATATATTTATAGAAATGGCTTTCCAGAACCAAAAGGTTGCAGCTATCATGGTGATTTGGGTTGCAATTGCTTGCTTGATGCTGGCTGTTGATCAGCCGCAGTTGGCACTCCTGAAGCTGCTCCTAGCCCATGTGCAGCACAAACTTATATCATTACATCAGTTCCGTCGATTCTGATTGGTGTTTTGGGCTTCATTATGTATCTCTTTTAATTTGTCCCAAGCTATATGCTTCATGAAAGATTATCATGTTCGTGTTGCTGTTGTTGTTGTTGTTGGCTCTTCTGATCGATGTGTAACAGTATCTGAACGTTAGAAATTCCATATATTTGGTTTTCCCATATATTAAATTAATTCTATGCTATACACAGTGGTTTTTGTTTTATTTATTTATACAAGCGACATTGAAAAAGAGAAATTTGGACACATAATCTCGAGTGTGTACGGGTAACTCATCTTAACTACCTGAGTTACAAGCCTCTTATATTGTACTCATAAGTTTGGAGACAAGTAGCATTAATCTTATTTTTCTTTCTTACTAAATTTAGCTAAAATAACCTTAAAATTTTCATTATCTTTTGTTGTTGTCGTCGAAATACGAAATTTTTGACAAAAAAGAGAGATGATTTGGTGTGCAACAGTACAGAGGAAGAGGAAGCCAAAATGCTTGCCGAAGAAAAGAAAAACAACGGCAGAGGAGAAAAACGAGCCACTTTCTCTCCATAAATGTAGGGAGCAAAAAGTTTGTTAGCCAGATTAGGTAGTTGTTGAGGTTCATCTAGCAGATTTTCCTCCGAAACTTCCAACTTTGACTAACTAAGAAGTCGATATTAATATAAAATCACATATTCATCTGGGCCTCAGCCCTATATGTAACTGGGCCCAGAATCTAGGCCCAATGGATAAATAGGCCGAAATTCTTTCTGGAGAAGCCTAAGAAAAAGACAAAGAAGAGTAAGAGGGAAGCGTTGAACGACGTTTGTGAGGATCGGAAGGAAAGCGGCGGAGTGAAAACACGAGAAGCGAGAGATGGGCGGTGAAGAGAGAGAGTTAGGAGAAGGAAGCAACGTAAAAGCAAACGCGAAGAGAAGAAGAAGGACATGGCTGAAGAGGAAAGAGAAATGGCTTGTAGTACTTGGCGTTGTTCTGCACGCCGTTTATATGCTCAGCATTTTCGACATCTACTTCAAGTCCCCCATTGTTCATGGCATGGATCTCGTTACCCCTCGTTTCAAAGCCCCTGCAAAACGCCTCGTTTTACTCGTCGGTACGCCCATTTTCCTTCTCAACTTTACTCTGTTTCTTGCTTGAGTTTGCTTTAAAGCTTTTGAGCCTGTGCTGCAGCTGATGGTCTGCGAGCTGACAAATTCTTCGAGTCCGATTCTGAAGGAAAGTTCAGAGCTCCATTTTTAAGAAGCGTGATCAAAGAGAAGGGTCGGTGGGGAGTTTCACATGCTCGTCCCCCCACTGAGTCAAGGCCTGGACATGTTTCTATAATTGCTGGGTTCTATGAAGATCCCAGTGCTGTTACGAAAGGTTGATTCTCTTTTCTCTTTTCTCTTTTCCTTTTCTTTTTCGCATTCATACAGACGAAATGGCTTAACTGAAGATACCCAATTCGTTTCGCAGGCTGGAAAGCTAATCCTGTTGAATTTGATTCGGTATTTAACCGAAGCCGGCATACTTTCTCTTATGGTAGTCCTGATATAGTTCCAATCTTCTGTGCTGGCTTGCCTCACACCACCTGGAACAGTTACCCTCATGACTTTGAAGACTTCGCTACTGGTATCTCTGTTCTTTTGTTTTTACTTTTCAATTTGCAATTTCTACTATTAAAGTTTACATATTTAGTGATTATTATTATTATTTTTTTCCTTCTATATAGACGTGATAATGCCTTGGGTACAAAGATACTACTGCTGTACACTCTGTTCTGTGGTTCTCACTCTCTCAGCTAATGCTTTACCAATTTGTATGTGTTAATGCAGATGCTTCCTTTCTGGATGAGTGGTCTTTTGATCAATTTAAGGGACTTCTGAATAGGTCCAAAGAAGACCCGAAGTTGAAGGAGTTACTTTTACAGGATAATCTTGTCGTATTTTTGCACCTACTTGGCTGTGATTCAAATGGTCATGCGCATAGGCCCTATTCGTCCATTTATCTCAATAATGTTGCGGTTGTTGACAGTATAGCTGAAAGGGTTTATAATCTTCTTGAGGATTATTACAGGGACAATCGTACATCATACGTATTTACTGCTGATCATGGAATGCATGACAAAGGTTGGGTTTTCTTTTACTTTAGAAATTTTTTGCTTCACTTTTTCACTGAATTATTATAAGTTTGATCCTACATCATTTCTTCCCTTATAACGGTTCTTACATGTTATTATTTTACTGATAGGAAGCCATGGAGATGGGCATCCTTCAAACACGGATACTCCCCTTGTTGTTTGGGGAGCAGGTGTTAAACATCCCAAGCCAGTCTCCAGCAGCAATCATTCTGATTGTGGCTTTCGTTTTGTTGATGAACATATGCATGACACGCCAACACCTACAAAATGGGGCCTTCATGGCATTGAAAGGGTGGATGTTAATCAAGCAGATATTGCACCTCTCATGGTTGTCCAATTTGTTTTCTCGAGTTTTTTCCCTTTATAACACCTTCAAGTTTTTCACTCTTATTTGCTGATTGATTTTTCTGGCAGTCAACTCTTCTTGGTCTGCCATGTCCTGTAAACTCGGTTGGAAGTTTACCCCTTGATTACATAGACATGATAAAGGTATAGTCAACTGGTTTGAAGGTGGATTTCTTGTCTTTGGTTTAAAGGATGTAAAATATGTTATCCCTTATATATTCGCCAGCTTATGTATATTCTATTTGGTTAGTTCTGCTGGTTCAACTAGATTTTAAATGGCTAGACAACTGAGATTTCCTTTTTGTTTCATTGTCCAGGAAGATGAAGTTGAAGCTGTGGTTGCCAACACAAAGCAAATTCTCAACCAGTTTCTTCGGAAATCACGTATCCTTTGTCATATGATTATATATCTAAGTGATGAATAAAGAGTGTTTATAAGATAAAGATATAAACAATAGTGTTTTTAAGGATATTCACTATATTCAATTCTACTGAAGCTTTGAGGAACTAAAGTAGGTAGAGACTGAATATTTAGTAATCTTCGATTTCTTGACAAAATTAGAGACGAAGCAGTCAAATTCGTTATATTTCAAGCCTTTCAAACCACTGGGCGATTATTCCTCCCTATTGGATAAGATTGAGGATCTAATATCTATTAGAGACTATGCAGCTGCAAGGAAGCTGTCTGAAGATCTCCGAGTCTTGGCGTTGCAAGGACTTCACTATTTTCAAACTTACGATTGGCTGATGCTCATGACTGTAATTATTCTTGGGTATATTGGTTGGATGACCTATATTGTTCTCCATGTGCTGCAATCTTATACTTCATTGGCAGGGTATATGTTTAGAAAGGAGCAAGCAGATCATCAGACAGATAATACCAGAAAAGTAATTTTTGTGTAAGCTTGACCTCTTGTAAGCTTTAATAGTGTTTTCAAATTGAAAGGAGTTCACAAATACAGATTTTTTTAAAGAAAAAAAGGAGCTAAAGTAGAAGTTTGGGAATATATGAGATTTGGATGTCTATAAGGGTTTTTATATTCTCTAGCTATACAACATAACTCATGAATCTCATTATTTATTGTAGGTACAATTTTGTGGATGCCTTTTTCTGGGACTACTTTGTATTATACTGTTTAAGGAGCATTCTCCTCCTCTTTACCATGCATACACATCAATGACAGTATTTCTGTGGACACAAATCTTTAGTGAATATCGGTTCATCAAAGCATTATGGAAAGAGTTATATGGAAGAAGAATCAATTACTTTGCTAAAATTCTAGCCACTGGTGTTTTCTCAGTATTCATTCTTGAATTCCTGGTATTGAATCAAAACTATAAGTTTTCATGCTGCAAGCCATGTTAAATTGGTACTCTAAAATACTGAACAGTGTAATTTTGGCAATTTCTGCAGGTGAATAGCTTTACTCAGAGGAAGCTATACACTTGGTGTTTCCTGGTTTCTGGGGTCATATCCTTCCTTTATCTTTTAAAATTGATTCCTTGGAGATCTGGCGTACCAATCTTTGTTTGTGTTGCGTGTTGGTTCTTGTCTGTATTTACTTTGATGCCAGCAGAAATTCCCGATAATAATCGTCTAGTGTAAGCCATCTCTTCTTGAATACATCTCTATGGTGTTGGGATGGGGGGAGGAAGGGATGTGTGTGGTTAATTTTTCAAACGGTTGCAGATTTCATTGTTATATGAAAGATCTTAAGAGTTGTTAGCACATTCTCCAATTCGGACAATGCCTTTGTTGTACTGTGTGAAATCGGGCCGTGGTTGAGATTTCATTCATTCAATTTTTTTACTACTTTTTGAAATGAAATGCATATTTTCAGAAGGGAGGGTAAATCTGGTATATGCTCAATGCATATACCCCTGAACAAGCCAATATATTAGTTCCAAGAACTAAAATTTGCTATCATAGATATCTTTATTAGGTATGTGTAAAATTAAGAAAAGAATATGAATGCATGTATAGTTAGTCAACAAAGATAAGCTATTTAAGAAAAGTTGACAATATACTTGTATCAATTATCTTGAGTTCTGTGTCTATTGTAACTTTTGGATTGGCCTTGAAAATGATGTGCATTCTGTGACAATTCATGTTCATAGGATTGGGAGTGGAGTTATGATTATTATGATAGGAGTAGCTGCTAGGTTGCTAGATCTGCATACCGAAGGAAACAAGTATTGGCTAAGTATCTGCAATCATGACAAGAAGCAACCTAAATTTCCCATGCTCTTTCAGTTACAGGTACTTAACCTATCTCCGTCCTCTGTTGGTATGGAAGGAAGCTTAATGTATAGGGTGTAACTTAACAGATATGGAGATAATTTTTTCATTTATGCTTGTGAATTAGGCTCTTTTGGTTGGATTATCATCCGTGATGGTGTCAATATCAACCTCTCATAGAACACAGAAGCAAGAACTACTTGCTTTGCACCAGATTACAAATTGGTCCATTGCTGGTATCGTTTTGAACTCGTCCCTTCTAGGTTAATGATTAGTATATCAGTTTACAGGTGTCTAATGGCGGAAGAATTTATACCTGCAAATTACATGACTATTTATGTTTATCTTTAATTTGTCTTGTCATAGGTATCTCGATTGTACTTCCGTTATTTTCAGCAAATGGTCTCTTGTCCCGGCTTACTTCCATATTTCTTGGTTTTGCGCCCACATTCCTTCTATTATCTATTGGGTACAGTCTATTTATATGCTAACTGTCATGCTTGCCTTCATTTAGAAGATCTTTGAATATGCGGGTTGTTGGGATGAATTTTTATATTTTCTTTTCATTCATTCTGAAAACTTATGCAGATATGAAGCTGTCTTCTATGGTGCTCTGGCTCTTGCACTCATGGCTTGGATACTAGTTGAAAACACACTTATTTACTCGAGTAAGGTGAACAGGTTGTCAAGCTCCTTTAACAATATGGAAGATAATGTCATACTTGATGGTAGATACTTGCAGCTCTCTGATGTGCGAATTCCATTAATCTTTGTAAGTGCTATCTTTTCTTTTCGTTACTATACTGAAGAAATTGCCTGATTGTTGTAGAAATTTAATGATTTAACTGCTCATGATATTGATCTCTGATGTCTTTTGTGGTTTTAGATGGTTTTATTTAATGTTGCCTTCTTTGGAACGGGTAATTTTGCAAGTATCGCAAGCTTTGAGATTTCATCTGTCTATCGATTTATTACTGTCTTCAGTGTAAGTGAAGGTTGAACTTTCCTTGGGATCTATCAGATTTGTTGCCACTGCTTAGCTGATATTATTTGCTTGTAATTGCAGCCATTTCTTATGGCCGCCTTACTTATCTTCAAGTTATTCATTCCATTCCTGCTCGTCATGTAAGTGCAGTTACAATTTTGTGTGTGATAACAAGCTGGTTAAAACACCATTCTTATTTTGACACTGTTCGTTAATTATAGAATGGAAAAAATGCAGTTTTACTTTACTAGCATGTAGAGTAAATTCCTTTTCTCTTATATATGAAATTGTAAGAAATAGTGGTTCTCATATAATTTGTGTTTGACTGACATGCAGATGTGTATTCAGTGCAATAACAAAACTAAACCGACTTCCACGGTTGGGATGCTATTTCCTCGTTATTTTGTTCTCGGATGTAATGACTATGCATTTCTTCTTCCTGGTAAGGTTACTATGTTCTTGAGATGAAATTATGTTTTGGACTATGTCCTTGTATTTTTCTGTTGTAACGATAGGATAATTACCTTACAAAGTAATGTTTCAAATGATTC